GCCAAGCCGGTCCCCGGTCCCCAATCGCATCGACAATCGTAAGCGTCGCATTCGCCATCGTCTCCATCGTCGTCGTCGCCGTCGTCGTCTCGCTGCGATCCGCTGTAATGGATGTTATGTTCTGGCGGCGATCGCATGACAGGCGCATGTTGAAGCCGTTGGCATCCGCACCATTATGGCAACTGGGTACCCGATGCCACAGCCCCAGCCGCAGTCCCTGCCCGAGCCTTTGCCTCAGCTGCTGTCCCTGCCCACCATTGCATTGGCAATGCATCGCATTCCCCAAAAAGCGTGTAATCAATAAACAACAAGAGCCATCGAAGCTACGATCCGATGCCCCCTTCAGCCAGCTCGGCCCAACTGAACAGTTGCCCTGCTCGCTGGACTCCCTGAGACAGGCATCTCGTGTAACCTATGGGAATGCTCTGGCTGGCTGGCTGGCTGGCTGGTCGGCTATTTGGCTGCCTGGCGACTGCTGGCGATTGCGCTCGATTGTATCTGTTTCGCTCTTCTTCTGCTCTTTCTGTATCTGGATAATGATCCATTGTTTGCATCTTGAACTTGTTTTAAATGCGCGCGCACTCGCACACATCCCAGCCTCCCATCCCGGCCACTCCACTCCATCTTGTGGCTGGTGCCTCCTCCTCATCATCATCGTCTTCGTACTCAATGTTCCCGTCGTCGTGGTCGTCAACGCTGCAGCCATATCTGGAGTCTGCGGCTGATTCATTCGCTGCACACCTCACATAAAAACAAAAGCAAAAACACAGGCAAAACCAACTACAACAGAGCTGCTAAATTGCTGAGCTATCCGCGTGGCATGTTCAACAATTTCTTCTAATTAGAAGATATTTTGCGCTTATTAGAATATGTTGCGACACGGAGAATTTGGTTAAAGCGCATTCAGGTGCAGACAGCATCGGCAGGCCACCATGTAACCAGCATGAGAACTTCAGATCGAGGGCTTATATCAGGAAAAGAAGAGCTTATGCAATTGCATGGCTAGAAATTGAATACGAACTACAGATATGTGAATGCTATTTTTAAATTTATTATTATAGATATATCGAAAATAAATCTAATAGAATTTCATTTTTTATTTTTACATATTTAAAAAAAAATAGACAAATAAGTAAAAATTATTTTATATTTTTGTTGATTATCTATTTTTATTTTAGGCGAATTAATTTTTCTTTTACGAAACAATTTTAAAATTAAATTTATTAAAAAAATATAGATTAAAAGACCAACAGAAAATTATTTTTTACACATTTCTGCTTAGAATACTTCAGGGCCTATCTTAAGGTTTCCGCTCTATTGTTGTCTAAGACGAAAGCCTTTATTGTTAATACTAATTTATAAAAGATTTGATTTTTGATAACAAATAATATAATATAATCATATAATTCAACTATAATTTCTACAAACTATCAAAGCTTACATATAAGACATATATATATTTGTAAGTATATATAATTATTATCAAATAGACAGAAGTAAAGAATGAAAGAACTAACCTGTTCCAATAATACTTCTAATATATTACACTCACTATCAGCCCAGCAGAGGGGGCACAAGAGGTAGCAATAAAAAATTGTACTGCAATGCGATTTCATAAACAATTTTAATCTAATCTGCTGCACATGAAAATAAACCAGCAAGAAATATGATCAGCGACGATTAAAGCGCTTTAAATCAATCAAAATGTATTGATAGGCTTCGGTGATGGATTTACAAGCGAAACGGCTTGGTCTTATAATTTCAGTAGAATGATCGTAAATCCGAATTATGATTGGCAGCATTGCCTGTGAGGCCGTTACACGTGAATCGACTAATCCTTATCGCTATCATACCATATATAAGACTAACTGTTAGCAATACGATTTAAGTAAATTGTTTAATAGCACTCACTGTGCCAGACGATAGGCACAGGGATTTATAGTTTGCTCACTCTTATCACTCAGCTGGGCTTCTCTTGATTTCACTTCGATTTGCTCGTATATTAGACATATCAGATCAAATAGTTAATGAATGTTTTCGTGTTTTTGTGGCTTTTGGCTTGCTCATAATTTATTCTCAAGATGATTTGCATGGCAATTCCAATGAAAGATCCAAACTGACAGCCATAAATATTCAACTCAAAACTCAAACCTTTTGTGTTTTTGTTTGTTTCTGTTTTTTTTTTCTTTTGTGGTGAAAAACTTTTAAATATTCATGCGCGATATTTGTCGAAGCGACAGATCTGCAGCGGCTGCGATCGATTGTCTCCTGAGTTGTAGGCGCTGATCTTGGCCCAGGTCCTTTGTTTTTTTTCCTTTTTTCCTTTTTGTTGAAGCAACAGCCTCAATGCCATTCGATTGTTCGAGCAAGCCAAATGCCAAAAAACAATGGGTCATTTAGCCAGTGTCTGTGGCCTGCCTGGATTGTGTTCGGGTTCCCCAGTCTCTGGCACCGAGTAACTTACCGAAAACGTTACCGATCCTGACAGCCAACAAGTATGGCACGACTCGTTGGCCAAGGCTCTTGTCCTTGTCCCTCGCAACATTCGCAACATTTGGCCGGGTCCTCTGAGTGATTTATTAAGTTTGTGTCAATTCTTGAAATTATTGGCTCCAAACGAGTGGCCAAAGCCATAGCTGGGCCACATCCTCATTGCATCGTGCTGACGGCTTCTGCATATCTTAACACATTTCGGTATTCCCTTGAAAACTCAGTTCATAGAAGATGGAATCCCTTGATCAAATCTCAGGAAATACCAGATACCTGATACCAGATACACCCTATTAATTTGCATGATCTTTGTGTTTCAGACATTCCACTGAAGCTCTCAGCTCGCTCCGAGATACTTTATCTTCTCTCATGATTGAGAGAGTTATCATTAGACTCTCTTATCAACTCTAGACTTGGGCACAACTAAGTATCAAATACCAATAGAGCATATCCAATCTAATCTATCTTTAAGCTTTCAGTTGCTAAAGCAGTAAGCCTTGAGTTGGTATAAATGGCAAAACAGATTGCCAAAACAGCGAGCCATCAAGACGCGATGACTTGTGTTGAGATCTCAGCAACTTAATCTGTTAACTGAATAGAGTGCAAATGCCAAGACACAGGCGAGTGCAGCTCGAGTGAAGCTCGATTCCATTCAGCAAAGTGGGTAGCACATATATAGCAAATGGCAGAGGCGCTTGAAGGAGCCATAAGTTAAATTTTCATGCGCTTCGGCTGTCAATTGTGCGCAGCCAACAACTCAGTTTAATGGCAGCAGCCCATGAGGCGCAGCTACAGCAACAAAATTTAAATACAAACAGCTAGGAGCAGCAGCCACCACAGCGCGAACCACAGCAGCCCAAGCTCGAATGGCGCTAAATCAAACGATGGCCACGAAATTGCCATAATGACGACACAGCGATGACGATCGTCATGATGATGCTCCCGATCATGATGATTATTACGTTCTCGGCGCATCGGCAGCCAAAATAATCAGCTCAAAATTATTGCAAAGCCGCGCAAAGCCGAAGAGCACTTGCTGAAATCTCAGCGCTACTTGCAGCAAGGAAGAAGCTAAGGAAGAAGAGCGCATAGTAATTTCTGTGGAAGAGTCGCTAGTTGAATACCCTTAGGAAGAGTTTAATGAAAGACAGAGGGAGAGAGAGGAAGAGAGAGAGACAGAGAAAGAAATATTGAAAACTAGAGTAGGATTTGAGCTGACAAACTTGATCAGAAAATCATAATACCCAGCGCAAAGAGTGCCTGCATAAAAGCTGATTGCACATGTTGCAAGTTGCAAGTTGCAAGTTGGCAAATCGAAATTATCGCATAATCGTGTAGAGCGCGCGTTCAGGCAATTTCGGTTTGGATTTGTGGCTGCTCGGCACAGAAGCGACAGCGCGTCGCATGCAGCACAGAACGTTGCAGCCGAGTGCAAATTTGTGGCAGCTACTTTATCTGCCACTCGCAGTGAAGAGAGGCTCGGCTGCTGCCTCTGCCTCAGCCTCAGCCTCACATGTGCTGATGATCTGCAAACAAAAGTCACATTGGTCACGATCGCGTCGCCAGGCAACGGCCTGCTGGCAGCAGACTGCTCTAATTGAGTGTGGGCGTGGCAGGCACTCAAATGACTCAGGCAGCGTATATATATTAATGAGTTGCAGCAACATGAAGCTGATGTTTGGATATGGAAAGTGAAAAGAAATGTCAATTAATTGATGCCTTAAATAATTTTGTAAACATTTAGAATATAAATTTTGAACTTAGAATATTTCTATTAACTGGAATGTTTCAGCTGACATTTTGGCTAAGGAATGCGAGTGGCCTGGACGTTGGATTAGATAGTGCAGATAATTTGATAAGTGAACTAGACTCAAACAGGGTATATCCCTGTCGAACAATTCCGAGAAAAATTCGCCTCTAATTTCTCTCTCTCTTTCTTCTTTAAGATTCAAGTTTTTGCATTCTTAATTTACTAATTCGAAATTTAGTATAAAAGCTGAAAAAGAGCACAGTTTAGGCCCAGGTTCTTCCGACTGTTAGTCATAGTCTCTCACATCGTAGCCTCACAGAATTTTGATATTTAAACACTGAACTATGACCTTCTAATCGACATTCGTACAGCCCCGCCTGACATTCATTTATGATTCATTTAACGCGGTTACCTATCAGTGAGTCACTGAGTCAGTCCAAAAAAAACTCTTTGATAAACAAATACTTAAGTATATTGTATATGTGAAGCAAGAGGTTTTTATGACTGACTAGAGTTCAGATGAGACTTCAGAACATATCAAAGTTCAGCGCGCGTAATTGTGCCCATAAAAGTCAAGAGAAAGTGAGCAAGATTAGAAGCAATCTAATTCAATAGCTCAATAGTTAGTTGTCAGTTGACAAGTTGACAGGAAAATCATATAAATTTGAGTGAACATTTGAAACTCTTTTTACTTAACAAATCTCAGGTGCAATTGTCGGCTGATCATCTTTTCTGACTCACACAACTCGTTTTAGGAAACATGTCGAAAATGTGGAAAAAATTCATAATTATTCTGATGGTCTGCACACTCGATAGCTATTCGATGCCCGTGGAGCTACCGAGGCAGTTGGTGGCGGCAAAGAGCGGCGTTGGCCATGCGCTTTACAGCATCGAGGGCATAGTCCTGCCGCCCGATCCGACACTGCGGCTCACTGAACGTTGGCCGGCCGATATAAGTCTCTCGATCAACGGCGGCGAGTATCTGGGCTTCGTGCAGGCCGATGGCAATTTCGTGATTAGCGGCGTGCCCTCTGGCAGTTACGTGCTTCACGCAGATCACGCGGATATATTCTTTCAGCCGATTCGCGTGGACATTACCCAAACCGGGAAGCTGCGGGCACGCAAGCTGTGCTATCTGAGGCCGTCACAGGTCTTGAAGCTGCCCTATCCGGTGATGCTGAAGCCGGGCATGCGACGCAGATACTTCCGTAGCCGGGAGCAGTGGAATATCATGGATTACATGCTGAATCCAATGGTGCTGCTGATGGTGGTGCCGCTGCTCTTGATGCTGTTGCTGCCGCGACTCATCAACGATCCGGAGACTAAGCGTGAGATCGAGAACATTCAATTCCCCAAAATACACACAGGTGTGCCGGATCTCAGTGATGTGCTCACCTCGCTTCTAACCGGCAAACATCCCTTGGAGAAGCAGAAGAAAGCGATCGCAGGCGCCTCGAGCAGAAGGCGCAACTAGGCTAAGTGGTTAAGGTTAACTGTGAAACGAAAGCCTCTCAATTGTTAAGTTTCCTTCATTCTTGCTCTATGAATAATAGCCGTATTGACACAAATTGAAACGTCTTATGTTATGAGATATGTACCTAGCATCTAGGATCTGGGATATTAGCTACTGCAAAGACCAGTTGAGGTGGGCCTTAGGCAAAATGTTGGCATGTTTTATCATGAACTTTATATCTTTCTCTTATTTTGATCTCTAAATATCATTCAGTGGAACATTCCTTTATTTCCACTTAACACTTGGTTTCAGGGCACCTTCTGAAAAGTTTAGATATTTAGGAGCTGCTCACATTAGTCTAGAGCTGCAGCAGGCAAAAAACAAAACTCAGCTCACATTATTTTTTAATTTTTAATTTTGATAGATGGAGAAATTATTGCGAATAGCCAACTTCTTGCACTCCTTAACAAATTTTTGTTAGCTAAAGATTAATACTTTTAGTATTTTTTAATTATTCCTAATCAACAGTAAAACAAAACAGATTCTTTAACTCTTATATTACTAAGAGATTCTTGGAATCTGCTTCTGAGTATCCTTTTCTACTATTAGATCATTATCTTGCTGCGTTAGCTGTTGAGAGTTCTGCGATTACAATTAATGCTAGTAGAGAGGCAAAGCAAGTTAAGCCAGCTTTATATCATGGCTAGACTTCACACAATACAAAGCCAAATAAATTGTAGGCTCACTTTAGGAAAAAAGAGAGTTTTTCCTAATTCAAGATTTTTTTAAAATATTTTTATTTATTTCAAGAATTTTAAACAATATTAAATAACTTTTTTAACTTTTTAACTACTCCAAAAAGCAACTGTTTGAAAGATAATTTTTAGTTTAAGTTTTTTTTGCATCTTTTAAAGATTCGATTTGAGTTCCGAACGCTTGCTTCTAGCACTTTCAGTTCTACGATCTCTTCTGGAATATCATTTTATATTGCACTTCACAGCATTTTATTCAATGCTTGTTTCAAATTTTGTTCAGCTGAAAGAAAAGTGTTTGCCGCCCTTAAGTAAAGTAGAAAATTCGTGTTTATAAATTCAATAAAAGTCGGTTTATTTTGATCACAATGATTAATTTTTTCCAATTTCATTCTCTTTGCCCAGGAATTTGGCAGCCCTGAGAAGGGCTTTTCCTTATACTTTTTATATATTTTCATATTTTTTTTATAATTTCAATTGTTTTTTTTTGGGCAATGGGGCCAATTAAAGAAAGAGAGAAACGCCCGCAGCAGCCAACAGTTGCCGCAGTCTTTCAAGGATGTCACGAGGCGCAGATGAAACGATTCTGCAAGCAGAAGAAAATGGAGAAAAGTTTGATTAGAACTGATGAAGGGCACGCAAGTTAGGATTTATATAGACTTTTGTTTATAGCTAGCTGATAATTACCTTGAAAAAGTCGGCCCGCTGGCTTGGCTGAGCTGTGTGGGCGTGGCGCGCACAATGGGCGGCAGGCTGAGTGCGTGACCAGAGCAACTGCCGCGACGCGCTGCGATTCGTCGAAATGTCCTTTCGATCTCGCAACATACATACATATATATATGTGAGTCTTGATATATATATATATATATATATATATATCTTGATTTGTGGTCTTCGCTGAGTGCGTACATAGAAGAGTCTCGCTTGACTTTGCCGCCGCGCCACGCCTCCGACTAGGGGAGGCGCCGCGGCTGGCCAAGCGTGGCAAACAAAAAGGTTGACAAAAAATCTTTATTTTGTTCGAAACAACGAAAAAATATTTTCGGTGGCAAATTCTTGGCGTGCCCACGCTTTAGGCGGTCTTCTCTTTCTTCACGCAGAACTGACGCAAAGCCGCCAGCGAGTTGCTGGCGCTCAAATTCTCCGGCGCCGACGAATCGCCGCCAGCGGCAACCGCTGCAGCCGCTGCGGCCGCCGCCGCTGCTAGCTTGGCGCGCGTATTGGCTGCGCCGCTGCCGCCGCCGGCGCCGCTGCTGCCGAGCGAATCGAACATGGAGGAGAGCGCGTTGAGCGAGTCGCTGGGATACTTTTTGGCATTGCCGTCGCTGCCGTCGTAGGACTTGTGGCTGGAGGCGGGCGATTTGGGTGTGGCCGAGCGCTGACTGTCCGCTGGGCTGCGCGGCGGCAGCGGCAGACGCGACGACTGCGGGCTGGCGGCAGCGGAAGACGATTTTGGTGAGTTGCCATTGTTGTTATTGTTATTGTTGTTGTTGTTGCTGCTGCTATTGTTATTGTTGTTGTAGTTGCCATTCAGCAGCGGCGCCTCGGCGTCAATTTTGGGCGAAGCAGCGGCCAGATCCTGCGGCTCATCGCTCAGCTCAGACTTGATTTCCATTTTGAGACTCGACTCCGGCTCCTGTTTGATGGGCGCTTCCAGCGACTGTGACTGCGACGCCGACGTCGACTGATGCTGCTGCTGCGGCAGCTGTTTCTCCGGCGTGGGCGCCTCCAGGCGCGGCTTGGCCTCAGCGCTGCACTCGCTGCCGCTGCGCTCGCTGCTCGTGTAGCGATAGTGCTGATAGTAGGGATCGCTGGTGTCAATCAGCGGCTTGTTGTAGTCCACGGTCTCATCGATGCCCAGGCGCTTCAGGATGCTGCTGGCCACGGGCGAAGTGTTCTTGGTGGACGAGTTCGAGGGGCTGCTCGCAGGCAGACTGGCGTGTCGCGGCGGCGTATCAAAGCTGGTGGTGAACATTTGCTCGATGGCGCTGAGCACGGAGGAGGAGCCGGCAGCTGCCTTGCCTGTGCCTGAGCCCGAGTTGGTACTGCTGGCATTGGCTGCGCCGTTCTTCTGCTCCAGCTCGGGCGACTTGTTCTTGGCCAGCAGCTGCGCCGCTTTGGCAATCTCCTCGGGCGACTTGACGCCCGTTATGTACTGGCGCATGCGTTCGGCGAAGAGCGCCGCCTCCGACTTCTCGGGCTTGGGCTTCTCCAGCGGCTGCTCCTCGGGATTGGCCTTCAGTTCGAGCAGCTTGCGCACTGGCAGTGACTTCTCGCGCTTCTTGGGCGCCGGCCGCTTCCGGGCGCCGGCCGACTGCAGCAACGGCTCCGCATAGTGATTGTTCTTGGCCATGTGATTGCTGAGATCGCCCAGCGAGCTGAAGGCCTTGTCGCACACCTTGCAGGTGAGCACGGCGGACAGCGTGCGCGACTCCTCGGAGCTGAGGCTGTTCTGGCCGCTGTCCTTGCCGTGATCGTTGTTCGAGTTGCCCGACTTGATCGAGATGCTCTGCTCCTGCGAGAGGATGTTCGTATAGTGCTGCGTCTCCTGCATGTGCTTGGTCATCTCGCCCAGCGAGCGGAAGCTCTCGCCGCAGCGCATGCACTTGAGTATCTGCATCGCCTGCTCGACGCCCTTGCCCAGCCACACGTTCTGGCCGCGCACCAGCTTCCGCGGCAGCGGCGTGGGCGGATCGCCGCGATACTGAAACGCGTTCTTCACATTCGCCGAGGGCGCTTGGCTGCCCGACTGCTTGCGCTGCTGTTGATGCTGCTGCTGCTGCGACTGCGACTGCTGCTGCTGCTGCTGCTGATGGTGGTGGTGGTGATGGCCGCCAGCTTGCGCTGCACCGCCCGAGTGGTGGTGCGGCTGATTGCTGGGCAAATTGCCGAACGGAGGCACATTCACGCCGCAGTGTTTGCTGTCCTTCATGTGCGTGGTGAGCGCCTCGAGGGTGGGGAAACTCTGCTTGCACCACACGCACCTAAACACCGAGCTGGCCACGCCCTTGTTCTGCCAGTGCGATTGCCAGATGTTGTGGCGCGCCTTAGTCACCCCGCCGCCGCCCTCGCCGGATGTGTTATTCGAGCTGGAGGAGCCGCTGCCGCTGCCGGCGCCCGTCTGATTCGCGGGACTCTTGGGCGGCGGTGCAGCGGCCGCTGGTGGCGTCGCCTTGTTCTGTTGCTTCTCCTTATGCAGCCCCGAGGAGCCGCCACCACCACCGCCAGCACCGCCCTTCACAATGTCCGACATCTTCTCCAGCGGATCCACCACCAGATCATTCTTGCCGTTCCAGTCGGGAAACTGCCCCGCGCGGAATATGTTGGCTGCCGCCACGGCGGCCAAGTAGGGATTGACCCCGGGCAGCATTGGAGCTGCGGCTGCTGCGGGCGAAGCGTTGGCGGGCGGGCTTTCCGACTTGAACATCTTCTTCACCTGAATCTGGCCAATGGGACTCTGTGTGTCGTGGCTGCGCTTGCGTGTGCCCACTGACAGGTCGAGCGGGTTGTTGGCGCCATCGTCGAACTCCTCCTCCTCCTCGGAGGCCACCGGCTCCGCGGACTCAGCGCGCGCATACATATTGGTGCGAAAGTCCAGCGCCTCCGAATTGCTGCTCGAGGCGGTGGGCGAAGCCTGTGGCGGCAGCTTGAACGGCGCTGCCGCCTCGCTGGGCAGCGGCAACGGCAGCCGCGGACCTGCAGCAGCAGCCGCTGCCAGCGGGAAGCCATACTGCTGCGCGGCGGCAGCTACCATGTGCAGGTAGGCCTCCATGGAGGAGGGCTGGGCGGGCAGCGACTGCGGCACCGCCGGGAATGATGAGTGCATTGTGGTGGGCACCGCCGGCAGCACGCCAGCCGACATATTCGCCGCGTCCCGCTGGCCACCATTGTCCGAGGAATTGGAATCGTGCGAGGGGCAGCGCTCGCTGGAGTTCGCCGATTCCGTGGAACGTGGACGTGCTGTGGGCAGGGCGCTGCAACGAGTCGATAGACGAGGCAAAGTTATTGCAAGTGTCTTCTGACTGGGTATAAATATTTGATATAAGGCAAAGTTAAGTAGATTTAAGAGCTAAGACAATCTTATATGGTCATTATTGTAATATATATATAATTAATTGATATGATAAGAATTAAAAATAAAGGTGATGGAGAGTGTACAGAAGAGATTGAGATAGATTAATGTAAGATATAAGAACTGATACGCTTAGAATACTTGTATTGGAAATTCAATCCATTCAATAAAAGAAATACAATCTCATTTGTGTCAGA